GGGGTTTTCATGAGCTATATGCCATAATCATCACAATTATGACAAATCACAGCTTGAACTATCTTGCTTTGCATGTTTATCTCATATATTAGTTTCACCTTTTAAGTTGCATTACTGAAATAAATGAACTTTTGCATGATATTCTAATTTTTTGAGTTTCACCTGTACTGCCTTGATAAGACCACCTTTGGAATACTGCATCCATCTTGAGACTCTAGAAAGAGTGCAGAGAAGAGCAACAAAGATGATTTGGGATCTGGAGGCTAAAACATAGAATGAACGGTTGCAGGAACTAGCGTGTTCTGTAGACTAACAATGAGAAACACTAGGTTAACCTGACTGCAGTTTTCCAACATTTGAGAGGCTGTCACAAAGAAGGAAGGGGGCAATCTGTTTACCAAAGCACCCAAGGATAAGACAAGAAGTAATGGATGAAAACTTACTCAACCTAGAACTAAGGAGACATTTCCTGACAGTGGGAACAATTAATCAGAGGAACAGCTTGCCTTCAGAAGTTGTGGGTGCTCCTTCACTGGAGGTTTTAAAGAAGAGATTAGACAGCCATTTGTCTGGAATGGTATAGCATCTGCTGCTTGGGCAGGGGGTTGAACTAGAAGACCTCCAAGGTCCCTTACAACTGTTATTCTGTAGTCTGTACTCTAATTAGAAGATTCTCCTGCCTTCATTTCCTTCATCACCATCTTCTCATCACTCACTTGTGGGAAAAATGAGAAACACTTGAGGGGGAGGCGGAGTAGCAGGTTTGAGCAAGTGTAGATGAATGCCCAAGATAGGAGACTTAGCAATTTCTCAAGTTGTCCAAGTAATAGTTTATCTGTGACCTATCAGTCAAGGTATTTCTGAATATAAGACTCATGCTCTTTTGAAAGAGCATTATGTCCCAAAACAGTTTTGGTAGAAGAGTGTGAAAGAAAATGGGATGGATGATTTCCCAGGAAAAACCCCTCCTCCTCACTTGCAACTGGATCAGCCTGCTGAGATTTTGCAACTACTAAAGAGTTCCTGTGCCAGTAGGACATTTCTGTGGTGGGAGAAGAGTGGAGGCATTGATGGGATTCTTATTGGTCAGAGAAGTCAGGATGGCACTTAGATAAGAATGAAGCAACTGAACTTGATGCCCTGAGTCAGGAATGGCCAGGAATACCTCCAAGAAATCTCTTGTCCATTGTTCCTGTTGGCTATGGGGAGGATCTGACTGTGCTGTCAAGAGTGGAAGGCTTCCCACCTCCTCCAAAGTGATTGCTGCCACAGACCGCAGACAGGTGTACCTCCCACTGTTTCTGCCTACTTCGGGCTGTATTGCTGCTCAGCTGGGGATTCACTGATCCCCTTAGCAGTTGGATCCAGAAGGAAGCCCAATCAGGTGTAGGGTTGAAATAAGAAAGACGATAAGAAGATATTATAAACCTGAGTATACCAATTTGTTTTAAAACAAATGGCATTTGCCTTTTATTTCAATCAACATGCTATTTGAAGAAACAAATTTTACTGCCTCTGAGGGCTGAAGCCCTTCACACAAAAGGGCTCTGTTGTAAGCTTGCAGCAGCCAAGCCAGTTTTTACATATGGTTAAACCAACTAATTCTACAACTCATATTCATTATTACTAAGTTATTGTTGCTGCTGCTGCTGCTTTTATTAAAATGGCCCCTGAAGTCGTCCACGGATCAGCTCTAGAAGATGTGGCTGATGAGTTTTCAGGGTCTCCTAAAACAAAAAGCAGAATAGTGGCAGAGGAATATGGGGACTAAACAGGAGGGGGCATATCTACAATGGTCCAAGTAACCAACAGGAATGGGAAAGATCTGGTTCTGATCTCATCATTAACTATTTTCAGGGAAGCATCACAGTTCAGTTCATAGCAAAAGTTATGTTGGGAAAAGAGGAAAATGCTATTCTAAAACTAGAACAGTTAAAAACTACTTTAAACTTCCTCTATTTAATATTTAAACATTACTTTAAAAGGTTTAGAAGGAATATTAAACAGAGGTGGGTTGCTAATTTTTTTACTACTGATTTGGGTGCGCTCCCGTGTGTGCGCCACTTCTGTGCATGTGCAGCAGCATTTGGGCACATGGGCAGAGCCTCCCGTGCCACTACTATCGGTTCAGCCGATCTGGGCCGAACCAGCAGCAACCCCACTCTGATATTAGAGAGATATGATGATGAGCCCAAAGGAAGAATACCGAGGAGAGGGACTAGAACTTGTCAGCCTTTAGAGGTAGTCTAGACAAGCTCCAA